ATGCTTTTGATTTTGGTTTGGGTGGGGTTTGGGTGGGGTTTGATTTTGGGTTTGATTTTGGTTTTGGTTTTGGTTTTGGTTTTGATTTTGGTTTTCCTTTTTCTTTTTTTTTTCTGTCCTCTTTTCAAATCTATTTCCCAAATCTATTCATCTGGCGATGTCTGCTCGATACCATTCGTTCCATTATTTCCTTTTCCCCTCTTTGGTATAGTAACCCTTGTCCCGATCTTTCCAATCTTTCCCGTTGCTCCCGTCCTACCTAACCTCTTTAGTATTTTATCTTCGACTATCTTACTCTTTAATTTATCAACGGCATCCTTCAATTCTTGGTTTTCTACCTTCATTTCTTCCAATTGTTTTCGCAACATTGAATTTTCGGCATTCAACGAGCTTATTTTGGAATTCATGTCGTTTATACGAGCAGACATTTCTTGATTTTGTATTTGTTTCTTTTTACGATACTTGGCCGAAGCTAGCTTATTACGCTCGCGTCGTTCGGATAATGATATTGTCATGCCACCCGTATTGTCATCCATAGGAAGAGGTGTGGGTGGCATGGCTGTGTAGTAAGGGGATGGTGTGGGGGCGGGCGTATGAGGATGAGCGGGCAGATGATGGTGAGGTTGAGCACGATGTGTAGGCGGTGGACTTAGGCTATTAGCGTAGTTTATTTGATTGTGATGGTTGTGTTCTTTGCGGTCGCTGTGGTTGCTGTGATTGTTGTTACTTCCGTAATTCATCTCTGTGCCCGGTTTATTGATACATGGTGATGTTGAGGGAGTCAATAGTTGCGGGTAATCTGGCTTATCGGGAATAGTCAAATGCTGCGGATACAAAGTGTTGTTCTCTGCTGAATCAACGTCCCGCGTTGATAAGTGGTTGTGTTGATGCTGAGTTACGTTCATGTTGCGACTTTGTGACGGATACGTCGAATGGTAGTTGGGATTATGTGGATGTACCGTAGCGTTATTGTTGACTGCGGTGTTCATATTTGTGTTATGACTACCGTCGGTGAGCAGTTCCTGTACAGTAAGTCGTCGTCCATGAGCTTTTTCACTCATGTCTTGTTCATATACAAAACGTAGTGGACGTACTTGAGTGGATAAGTCTTGAGTTGTCATGATCACAAAGGAAGAACGGCGAGAGTGAGAAATAGAAATTGACTATGATTCGAGTTGACAATGGCCCAAGCAAATCTATGTAAAAAATGTAGGTGTATGTATAATATACGTATATATTTATATATATTTTTGATGATTATTTTTTTCCTATTATATTTTTTTTTATCCAGCAAACATCGGTCTCGAGAGCCCTTTATATAAATGTTGGGATATCCATATTTGTATTAGAAGGTTGTGCATCTGAAAGTTAAAATAAAATAAATAAATTTATGAAACATTACATAAATTATGCAAACTCTTTGATTTGGTCGCATTTACATTTACCATTTAATTTTCCGAAAGTCTGCTGATATATCCTTGGGCCCGTTTACTTTCTGTGACTGGTGTCTGTTATTCAAAGTCCGCTTATATACCAAGTGCTGCGTAACGACGTTATGCGCTGAAACAACACACAAATTGTCGAAAGAGAGCACAGCCCAGAAAAAAAAAAGAAGTAGCATTCTTTTTTCTTTCGTTTTATGATCCGGGGACTATTATTATATCATCGCTCGTGTAATTTAACATGCCGCAGAAACGGCTTTTTGGAATAATAGTAATGAAAATAATGGACGGACGAAACTGGAAGAAGATTCCTTCGTTTTTGTCAAACTGTTACAAACGGGTTTTGTTAAATTATCAATTGTGTCGGTTATTCTGCTTGCATTAATAATTAATTAATAATTTATCTTGGATTCGTGATATGGTGCCATGTAGCCAAGAGTTAACAGGCTACGAGATCTCGAACAATAATAAGAGCGAGAAGCAAAAATTGTCCAACAGCACCTATTCCACTTTTAAACAATAAGAAGAAGCGTACATACAAGAATACAAACATACAAGCATACAAACATATAAGCATACAAACATACAAACATGCAAACGTAACCACACACCCACGTAAGCATTTTTCGATAGGTTGATATTTTTATAAACCTTTTCGTGCATATTCTTGTCCTCCATTTTATTTGACTAGAAGCGAGTTAAACAGTAACGTCGAGTTGAACCGGCGACGATCAGTTCCTCTGCTTATAGATTTCCCAATAAACTTTCGATCAAATGATAACAAAAATAACCAACCAGAATCCCATTTCGGGTCGAAATCGAATACTATTAACCAGATATATATATATTTGAACCAAAAATGTATTTGTAGTATAAAATATAATACATAAACAGTATAATACATTTTCAGCTTTTCCGTTCGAATTACGTACAGACTGTACATTATTATACGGTTCTCGCCCTTACTCCAAGAATACACTTGTTTTCCAACTGGTGTAAGAAATTCATGTGAATATACAACCTTGTGCATATTAGTACCCTGTAATCGATCAATAGGATCACGTTCTCCACATTTCCTAACGAGGTGATTGTAAAAAGCATAGAAACCGAATCCTGCCCAGTGCGGATACCTAATTGATTGAAAAATTAATCAGACATTCGAATAAACCGGTAGATGTATAGAAATGGTCAGATGAGATGAGCATGAGGTCAGAAATCGATGCTATAAAGAGAAATGAGAGATGATGAACAGAAAAAAAAAAAGGAATCTGCCATCTTTTAGTTGAGCTTGCCAATCTCGGAGACTTGGAAAGATGATCTTGAGGAAAAGGGGTGAGGGAAAGAAAAAGACCTTGATACACAGATAAAAGATGATCAAGTTGATTTCTCGGTTATTGACAATAAGGCTCGTAATGGGCGGGTATGTATAATCGCTCTTCATCCTATTATTCAATCATGTTGTTTGCCCGGATTAATTGGATTAACAATTACCCAGACATTCATCTTCGATTACTATATTGCGACAACAATGTGTACCGCAATTGTTAATCAACTCGCTTGAAAAAAAACAACCAACAACAACTATAAACTCGAGCAAAGTATACACGCCTTCTTTTTTTTTTTTACAATTACCTTAATGACGTTATTGTTAGTCGTCATCGCATCGTTATTGTCTTTGCTTTCTTTCTTTCTTTCTTATCGTTCGGCTTCTCCCCCCCTCGCCCTTTTCGTCCTCCTTTGATCTAATGTCTAAAAGTCTCAAAACGTCGTATGGCGTTTTTTTTACGCACATGGTGTTTAGATTCACAATTTCTCGTTGGCGGCCATTATTATCAGCATGCAATCTCTCCTGCTCTTCCATCTCTCTCCCTCATTCCATCATCCAAATAAGTGTATTTCACAACCGATAACGGAAACTCATCGACGCCCGCACTCTGTAACCCCTATAATCATAATTAACCTTCTATCATGCACAGGCATAATATGATGTAGCAACATGCCAAATTAAGCCATCACAACAAAAGATTTGCATAAACTCAATTGTGGGAATATTGTCCCCTCTCGGCTCTTTCAATAATGCCCTTTCTCAATCGGTGGTGTACCAATTATTGGAATTTTGCAGCCGACGCAGATCTGATGCATCTTGAAGATGTTCTGGTTGCCATTTGTTCGTTTGCCCTTGTCTCCAAATCCAATTAATCTCA